CTTCTCTATTAAAGCATGAGCCGAATCAACTTCCATTTGTGTGTGACCTTTTTCCAAAAATTTTTGGTAAATAGTTACATCATGTTCTACTGCGAAATTAAGAAGTGCGTTTGCAAGTACAACATTTCTGTTTTGATATCCACATCCGTCTGAGTAAATTACTACTGTTTTTTTTTCCATAAGGCAAAATTCCTCCAAGTGCTTGATTATGCAGGTAGTAAATATTGATGATACAAGCTCGCCCTCCGTTTCATTCCAGCAGTAATTTACACAGTTGTGATCTTCCAAATTATAAATAGAAAAGTTGTGAACTTGCAATTTGCTTTTGAAATAAAGTTTGCTGGCATATAACATTGGACACAGCTTAACTGCCTGCACATCCATAGTAAATACATAGCATTCTCCTCGTGATGCAGCTTCCTTATCGTTGTTTTTCTCCCTTCTGGCTTGTTCCTTCCTTTCTATGTGATGTTGATAATCTTCCTCCGAAACTTGCTGTACTTTATAAGAACAGCAGAGATCACATTGGTCCTTTTTTGGACGATGAATGGAAATATTCATTTCAGTCAGTGTAGTCATGAAGACACAGATAGAAAGCGGTGTACTTTGTTGTTCCTCACAGTAATGTTTGTATAAATTGTAGAGCTCCGTTTTATTTTTGAATGATTCCTCAAAGTATAATTTTTTAGTATTTGCTCGACAGTAATGAGATGGTAATTTAGGAATTGAATTTATAAATCTGGTCATGATGCCTTTTAGTTCGTAGTTCTTTCGTTGTTGATGAGTGCGAGTTCTTTGAGTTTCTTTACACTTCGGCATCCCATGTATACTTTCATTCGTCACCCAACTTCTCACTGACCTTTCTTTTAGTCCTAAGGTACTTAGAAAAAATTTTTTGCATACTTTCAGTTTTACATTAATTCCAACTTGAACGCTATAATAAAATGACCCCTTCCTTCTAGAGTCATCCTGTACATAACATCTTTTTTTTTCTTCATAAGTTACAAGGGACCTGACATAACTTTTTTTGTCCTCCCAATTCAATTTCCAAAATTTTTCAAATATCTCCATTCTTACTTGTTCATCTATTTTATTACAAAATCTAGCGCTGGACTTGCACTCACATACAACTCCTAATTTTCGAGCAAACTTCTTCACTTCATTTCCTTGCTGATCTTTTATAGTAGACTTATATTCTTTACCCTCCATTCTCAGTTTCTTATTAATTAGTCTCTTCCATGTGGATGTGTCTTTTTTTCTTTTCCTAATTCTTTTAACAGGTCTCTTCGTTAATTGTTCCTCATTCTTCGTTGCATCAGTTGAACTGCTACTGTCTTGATCATCTGGCACATAATCGGTTTGAATTTCACTATCGTGTTTTTCTTTATCGTCATATTCAATCGCTTCTATTAGATTAATATTTTTCCTATTCATGTGGTCGTCTGGTAGTATCTCCTGAAACACAAAAAGAAAATGATTGCCAGACTTACCTAGTTCAACACACTGCCACCATGATCATTTACCTGCGCAGTCTGATGGCTATCCTCAACATTTTTTTCATTACTTCCTCCATCAACTGAATGAAGGATAATTTCGTTACTTATCACATTGTATTGTAACGAATTATCTTCTGTAAGATTTATGTCGTCAAATATTACAGGAATCTCATCCAACATGACATGCTGGTTAACATCTAAGTCTAATGATACAGGCTGTAGAGTAGTTAAATGTGGTTCATTCGACGTTGAGTGTTCATGATTTTCAAAGTTCACATGATTTCCATCAGGGGTCTTGTTTTTATCAGAATTAATAGCAGCGGCGAGAGCCATAATTTTTAATGTTCGGTATGCCATCCTGAAAGATCAAAATAGGTACCTACTCATTCTTTGTCTTAAATTGACCTTTAAAATTGCATGAATTTTAAAATCAGTTTTAAGGTTTAAAAGTAGCGGTGGGTACGGGATTATATGTATAAAATCGAAAATTAATGATTAGGTAACATCACATTTGGTATCAAAACGCAATTTAAAGTTAGGCAGAATTGGAACAATAATTACCGGTAGGTACGTTCAAGGGATACAAAATGTCGTAAGCCGCAAATACAGGTTGTAAGTTCTCAACACGTAAAATGTCGTATCGAACTGAACACGTTTTATTCAATTGAATTAAGGTAATAGTGGAAAAATTAGAAAATATTTTATGTAAAAAGTAAACACAGCAAACTATTACACGATAAATTCTATAACTAACATAAAACTTACCTAATAACGGTACAAAACACTTTAATATATTGAGTCGAGATGCACTTGTGACTTGACACTGTAAAACGCATTCACAAATTGTGGCTTACGACGTTTAACAAACCAATTTAAGCACTTTGTTGATACGACGTTTTGTTTTGGCGCGTAAAATGCATTTTCTAGGCGATTGTGAGTTACGACGATTTGTTAGAATCTGCACGTGAGGCAAATGATTCGAATGGCGCGAAAAACGATTTTTTGAAATTTTGGTGGGTTACGACGTTTTGCACTTAAGCGATCGATATGCAATACCCAATTTCCTGAACAGCGCTCGGGTATTTCACTTTACAATGAAGTTGAAAAACATCAACGTTCATGAGTGTGCTACCCTGTTAAACAAAAATTTAGCAAAATTTCGCCGGAGTAAATTACAGTGCATTCGTTTAACTGGTCCTTAATTTTTTGAAATCTATTCAGTATTAACTGGTCAGGAACATTTTCTGTAGACCGTGCTTGTCATTAAATGACAGTTTACCCGAGCGCTGTTATAATAATTTGGGTTTGATGTAGTTAAATTAGCGCAGGGAATGTGAGGTAATTTATGTAGTAAAGTAAGTTTAATGCGTTTTACATACAGGAAAAAAATTAAAGTGTTACCAATTAATGGAACATAACGCATTTACAATTTATTACATGCCCAAATATGTCTTCCTCTATAAAGTGATAATAATTTAATTTAAAGTAAACATAGCAGTAGTGCTTAATGGATGCCTATAATTAATAGGGAAAAAAAACCTGGACCTAAATATAATAAATAAGTAAAAATGAATCGTCGTCTATGAACTTCAAATCACATTAAGCAATAAACGTAATCAAGCCAATCCGTTTTACGTAAAGCAAAATCACCCATAATTAGGTGTTGTGATAAATACAAATTCGCGTATACGTATTTAAGTGGAAGTAGCATTTCATTTCACCTATCGATCACAGCAAAAGGGGTCTAGGTACATATTTTATAGGGAATTTTATACAATTAATTGTAATGTGATCCGAAACGCGAAAAAAACCATCGTAAAACTGTCGTTCATTCCTTATTCAGTTCAATAAGGGTCTGAAATAACGTAATCTATACTAATACATTTGTTTCGGATTTTCAGGAATCATAAAATTTTAGTTAAGTGGACACTTATGGGTAAAGATAAAATACAAATATCAAGTGCAAACAGTTTTACATTAAGAAACCTTCGGAGGGCGGAGAAGGGCAAGCATCCTTCTGAAAAAAAAGCACATTACTTGATTCACCAGACTGTCTTTTCCCGTGTGAAAGATGTAGCATCTTTGTGTTGTATGAAAGTTTTACAGTGACGTGAATACTTACTTTTACTGTAAATTCGATAAGGCCTTCATATAATTAGGATCGAACATCACTTGGGTAAGTTCGTTTGATCTTATGATTATCGGCACTACAGCGATTCATTGGAAGAAAATAAAGGAAATAAAATGCAATAGACATCTTTCAATCAAATATATTTATAAAAAAAAATTCTACGGTGTTGTTAATGCACCTCATTGTAAATGTAAGAGCCCCAAATGTCGTCATAATTGGTGGGCCGGCGTGGGGGGTGGTTACCAAAAAGATTGGATTTCCACCTATTCTTATCATCACCGTCTTGGGGGTATCTGCGGGCCGGTCGATCCACAACTCAGGTGGGCAATAACCCCATATTTCGATTTCTGATAAAGAAAAAAAAGTAAGTAATTCAGTGTCTTAAAGATTTAAACTTATCGCGATGCCCCATTGTAGAATGTACCACGACGAAATATGTTAGGTACTATAAATATCTTATGTGAGAGTCTGTATTTATATGGAATTAAGAAAAATGGGAATCTAAGGGATGGGATAAATGATGAACGTAAAGATAAGATGTTGCGCGCATTTAAGGCGGGGGGTTGTGAATAAAATTAAAACACTTTTAGGTAATTTAGTTCCATTCCTATTAAAAAATGAGGTCGTTTAACTTTTTTTAGGTTATTTAGATAGTAAAGTAGGTATTTTTTAATCAATGCCTTTTATATACAGTGTATTCAATCTTAATGGAATAAATCGCGTATGATTATTTTGATGCCATAGTTCGACTGTATTAAGTTAATGGATGTCTAATTTATTACTGCACTAAATTACTATGAATATTTTAATTACACATGATTTAACACGTCTTAATGGAAGACGGTGTATGAGTAACATACTTGAAATACGCGTAAAAGTTAATGGATTTACAATTTATTATTGTAATAATTCTCGTTTGAATGTGAGTTTGATTATAAAAATAATAATCGAATTTTGGATGTCTCTAAGTTAAATTAGAATGAAACAGCTTTCTCATAAAACGTAAAAATGGACAGAAACATTCACTTCACTCGTATTTAGTCATTGTTTCGTGTTCGCGTTAAGGGTTGCAGGCGCTTGACAGCCATACACACACTTAGCTATTTTTGAATGGGATTCATTTATTTTCCTTTATTACTTTACGTAACTGAATAAATTTACTAAATAAAAATTATAAGCCTAGATCGAAGAGTTTTCGAATGATGTGAATTTTTTTCCCATAACTTGGTGAATCTTTTACAAAGTAAATCCTGTTATAGACAAAACGATATACTTAACCCATTATTATTAACGTTTTATACATGACTACTGAATGGATGTAAGGTGTGTTATCTTTTATTCTAAAACGAAATGCTTGGTAAAGGGTTTATTTTTAAAAGGCAATAAAATGTAATAGAAATCGGAAAGTTTTTATTCAAAAGTATTTATGAAAAAAAATTCCAGTGTATTATTGGTTTCACGCATGGTGAATGTGATCGGCCCAAATGATGTTATGATAGGCGGGCCGGTGGGGGGAACCGTTGTCACAAATAGGGGTGTTCCTTCAAAATTTTTCACGATGACCGTCTTGGGGGTATCTGCGGCCCGGTCGATCCACAATTCGAAAGGGACCACGTCCCAAATTTCGATTTCTGATAGGAAAATAAGTAATTACTTTGATGCCTAAAAGATTTAAGTTCTACTTACCGTGAGTAGAAAAGGTTGAGAAAAAACAAATAAGATGCCGGTGGAAATCACCGTCTCCGTATCCTTTTGGTAGCGAATGTAGCCGGTCACCTTTTTCGCCGTCAAGAGTACGTGAAAGATTGTCACGCTTATCTTCGCCTGGCCCTTCTGGTGTTAATGAGGATGTAGCAGATACAGATTTGTTGGACTGCTCAGCCGGGGTAGAAAGTTGGAATGCGTTTTCTTTTTACAACTGTCAGTGAGAACAGTTACTTCGCCGAGAGAGGTGAACGTGCTTGCTGTGGCACTTATTGTCTTTATTGCCTTCCTTTAACTGTCATCGAGTACAGTTTGTTCGCCGAGTGAGGTGAACGTGCCTAGTGTGGCACTTGTTGGCTGTATTGCCTTCTTTTAGCTGTCGGTGAGTACGTACAGTTGTTCGCCGAGTGAGGTGAACCTGTTTTATTTCGCATTTGTTAAATTTTTAACATAGGTACCTATACCTAGTGTGCTGGAGTTCTTGTGCCTAGGGTGACACTAATGGGGTCCTTACCCTAGAAGACCGACTGTAAATTCAGTTATGTCTTTGTTATATTGGTTTTTATAATCTAATACGGTCTTGCCCATTACAAGCTTTATAGTTTTTGCTTGTGTAAGGCCGGGGGTTTTGATTTGTTGCTTATAATTATCTGGCGTTGCAGATGAAACAATTCAGGAGCTTCGTGAAGACGAGTCTGAGGACGTGCTTCCGCCAGCTATTTTAACTCTGTTAGGTGAAGATGACATTATGAAAAAAAGATTTTCCGATTCATTCCATCCGGACTTGGCTGGACAAAATTGTTAAAATTAGGGTTGTCGGAAGACATAAAACAAATCTAATCAAAAAGTATCTTCCACCGAAAAACTGCCCGGATTTGTTACCTCCAAAAATTAACCCGGAGGTAAAAGTTGCGGTGCAAGACGGAACATTTCGGAGAGACATACGATTGAGTCAACTTCAACCGCAGTTAAGTGCTGCGATTTCTGGTGTTGTCACAAATTTAATTAAGGAAGGAAGCGGAGAACACATATCGTATACATTGAAGTTTTGAACGATGTAGGACGTTTGCTGAGTGACATCTACCATACCGATTCCATATCGCGGAGGAACCTGATCGCACTCAATTTAAATAAGGATTTACGGAATACCTTAAAAATACTTCCATAACCGAGTGGTTATTTGGATTTGGACATAAAGACCGTAAAAGATTTGGAAAAATCTGCAAATCAAATATAGGTACCTAAGAAGCGTATATTCTCTGGACCGTCATTACCTTCGAAACAAGGAAACGAAAAACGTCCGTTGTTGCAGAAGCACCAGCTTACACTCACCTGAAGAGGCAGGAACGTTACAAACATTTCCAATCCAAACAAGGACAGAGGGATCATTAGAGGTTAGTAGTCCTTGTGGAAGACTCAAACAGTTTGCTTTAGATGGGAGTGAGTTATTTATTGACAATAGGATAGTGTCCTATATTAATGGATTTTATATTCCCTTTCATACTAAACCAAGTCAACGTGGTGTACCTGTAGAACCAAAATGGTCACAAAAAGAATCCTAAATAATATAATCCAAGATTTGTTGCTTAGGAGGGCTATCAGTATATACAATTTTCTTGTACCTAAGCCAGATGGATCTAATCGATTGATTTTGAATTTAAATCATCTTAATAATTTTATTAAAAACATCCGATACCGTCATAGGAAAACCGTATTTTTGTGCCTTTTTAATGTGTAGCACTAATTTATTTTCATTGGCCTCCCTCAACATGCTGTCAGGTCCCATTTTCCCAGTCGTAGATACATTTTTCTTTATTTTCCTTTCAAGGGTTTTCCTAGGAATGCCATAATTTTTTTAAGCACCGTTTACAGAAGAACTGTTTTTCACAGCTTCAAATGCCAGCCTAAGATTTTCTTCAGTATAATTTCCACGATTTGAATAGAGTCTTTTATACTCCGTCGGCATTGTTTTTGCAATTACTTAATCGGAAATGAGTTAAACTGTAGGGAAACGAAAGAAAAATAAGTGGTAATCTATCCCTTCCGTTTGGTGGCCATCTATCCCGAGTCCTAGGTAGAGATGGCCAACGTCACAATCAAAGTCCACTTTATACTTTTAACTGCTTACAGAGGTTAGGTTTCCTTAATAAACACTGTACTCACCTAATGTGTAGAGCGCAACAGCCAATTTCGACTTATACGTTCACAAGTATATATATATATATATATACATATTGAGAGTACCAAGTTACCTCCAAAATAGATACGTACCGTACGTTCTTCCCTCATATATAACGTTGTTACCTCCGATTTCGGAGGTAACAACGTTTCTCTATGTTTTCAACAGAAACCACGATAAGAAGACAGTACTAACTCAAATACGAAATTTATGTTGGAGGTGATATCGAAGCCTATAAGCATGCAATTTTTTGAAATAGTTCACATATATAACACCGGCGCTGGTGTATCACTGCGTATATACGGAAACGATGCACGAAGGGTGAGGTTACCTCCGCCTATATTTAACAATATCTCTTTTACATGGTTCGTACGTTATCGCCTCCCACGTTTGGCAGCATCGCATCGCAATACGTGCTTATTTAATTTTGAATATTATGAATGTTAACGCTGTCCGAGCACCATGCATCGAAGGAGCAAGTTAATTCTTAAATTGGCGCGAAACAATTACGGTAAGTATTTCTAATTAACTATGTTCTTATAGATAATTAGGCAAACTTTATTCATTTTATAAAACATAATTTGCTGAACAATTAAGTTATTGCACGTGCAATAAGTTATCGCAATGAAATGCTTAACTGGGAATTTTTAAATACAACGCATATTCAACGGCAATAAGGGGCGGTTATGAAATGTTGATTATACGAAATATGTGGATATTTTGTTTAAGTTCTCGTTTTGAATTTAAAATGTGCGAAAACAGTTTTTCAAAAATTTAAACTTTCGATATACTTTCCGTATTATATCGAAATCTAATATACAATGTCAATATTTTTAATACGTGTTTTGCGCTTTTCGACTGTATTAGTGTACTTTAATTTATCTCGAACAATCTTAGTAATGTTTATATTGTAGAAAACAATGAAAAGTCGCCGCCAATGCCACCACTTAAACTGGATGAGGATTTACGCCATACACGAACTTCTGTAAGTACCAAAAGTGTTTCTTTTATAATTCTAGTTACAAAGAACATATGAATGTCCCGTTTTCTGTGTAAGTAACTATTCCATAAACCTCAAGCAACTATGCAGAATCAAAAGCGCAACCTAACTTTTGTATTTGCCCAATCCATTTTTTTTTTGTTTTTAAGATATTTACATGAAATTTTGTATGCAGGGACCTCGAGTAAAAGTGAAACTAATGCCAAATGAAAGTTTGTTTTGCGCATGCGCAATTTTTTTATTTCTTAAGATATTTACATGAAATTTTGTACGTAGGCACCTGAGTAAACGTGAAACGAATGCCGAAACAAAAAATTTGTTTTTGCAAGCGAAATCCAATTTTTTTATTCCTTAAGACATTTACGTGTAATTTTGTATGTACCTAGGTACCTCGAGTAAAAGTAAACTAATGGCGAAACAAAAAAATTGTTCTGCGCATGCTCAATCCAATTTCTTTTATTCCTTAAGCTATTTATTTACATGTAATTTTGTATGTAGACACCTCGAGTAAAAGTAAAACAAACAACGAATCAAAAAATTTGTTTTGCGCATGCGCAAATCAATTTTTGTATTCTTTAAGATATTTACATGAAATTTTGAATGTAGGCGCCTCGAGTAAAGTAAAACTAAAACCGAATAAAAAAATTCGTTTTTCGTTTGAGCAATCAAATTTTTTTATTTGTTCGGATATTTACATGCAATTTTGAATGTAGACACCTCGAGTAAAAGTAAAACTAACACCGAATCAAAAAATTTGTTTCGCGCATGCGCAATCCAATTTTTGTATTCCTTAAGATATTTACATGAAATTTTGAATGTAGGCACCTCGAGTAAAGGTAAAACTAATTCCGAAACAAAAAAAATTGTCTGCGCATGCTCAATCCCATTTTTGTGTTCCTTAAGATATTTACATGTAATTTTGTAAACCTCGAGTAAAATTAAAACTAAAACCGAATCAAAAAATTCGTTTTTCGCATGAGCAATCAAATTTTTTTATTTGTTCAGATGTTTACATGTAATCTTGTGTGTAGGCACTTCGAGTAAAAGTAAAACTAATGCCAAAACAAAAAAAATGTTTTACGCATGCTCAATCCAATTTTTTTATTCCTTAAGATATTTACATGTAATTTTGTGTGTACGCACCTCGAGTGCTGTCTGTCTGTCCTTGTGTTTAGAAACGTTCGATCGCTTTGAAACTAGTTACACATGTTCTTAAGGATATACAAAGATTCGCTATTTTTTAAGCTGAGTAGACTATTGTGCCAAAAAGTTACAGCCCAAAAACGATCTTGAGGATCGTTAGGTATTCAGTTGTATCGAATTTTTTCATATGCTACTAATTTCTTACCTACGTCCTTGATGAAATTCGAAAATTTCAAGTCCATATTCTTTAAAACACCAGATATCATTTCATTTAAAGCTTTCGCGCGAACACTTTATATAAAACGTTTGCTTTTTTATCATAATTATACTCACTGTACTATACTAATACTATTACTAATGACTCCACCTACAATGTACACAAATATATTCCTTTAACCCTAAAGCTGGCATAATCGCGTATTTTTCGATGCGGCATATTTACAATTGATTCGATAATGTATTGAATTCCGTTGCAGGCATGGATTAAAGAGAGTCAATTTGATGAGTGTAATGATGATGTATGTAAGGAAAATATAGATCCTGAAACGACTCTTGAGGTGACAAAAAATACGCGCCCTACAAAGGATGATGAAGTTTTGAAGACGATTTTTGACAAATGCAAAAAAGCTGCGGCATGTACTTCCACAAATTGCTCTTGTTCATATGTATCAGATACCACTTCTAGTGAATGCACTTCAATAATAATACCTGTTCAACAACTTTCGAAACCTAAGGTACCGAAATTATGAAGTTGTTTTTGTTTTTATCTAGTTAATACACTTAAATTATTTCATTTATGTGAACGTTTGCAGTGTAATGAACGAAGCCTAAATCACGTATTTTTTTATTAATAGTTTTGTTCAAATTTTTTATTTTGGCTTTAATTCAATGCAGCTAAGTACCTACACTTTGCCACGAATTTGAAATTTGTGAGATATATTTTGTTGGGTATTTTTCAAAAAGATCAAAACAAAAGTTGATACCAAAATCAAAGATCGAAAAATGTATTAATTAAAAAGCAATGGTGGGAATTTTACTGGTCACATTATAACTTTTTCTTTCAATTTATTTGATTTTTTGTAATTGCAGTACATCACTAAATTTTAGATATCACATGAAGAAAAAGGCAGTTTAGAAAAAAAGATTGGCATTCCGGACCCAATGCCGCAGACCAGTGAAAGTGTTACAGGTGGTCCACATAATTCCTGTAAAGTGCAAATATTATCAGTCATCAGTATTAATCCATTAAGCCATAATGACTTTAGCCAAAATGCAGAAAGTTTTTATAATGATGACAGAAGAGACAGAGATTACCAAATTAATGCCTCAGAGACTACTTCAACATCTATTGTATCATATGATCCTATTGATATCAACTCTGATATTAAACCTAAAACGGCAGATAGTAACAAAGACACTGATCAGCCATTATCAGAAACGGAATTTGTAAAGGTAAGTACATATTATAAAGGGCGTTACACGACCGTTCGAAAAAAAAAATCGGGTTGTAGAGGGCATCAAAACAAGCACTTTTCCAAATAAACCGAGAGTCCAACGTGTTTCGTTTGGGAGCCACCCCCCAAAGAGTGTTGAAATCTGCATTTCTTCTTTAATTTTTTTCTCAGCAACCATAAGAGTTACAAAGTCGGGTGGCATGTCTTTGAATAGGTTTTTGGGTATGCTCTTTCCGATTTAGCAATTTTTTTTCAAAATTCTTACCCCTAAACGAGGGTGCAAAAAATTCTGATTTCGACGAAATTTGGTATCTGGGGGTTTTTTAACATGAAAATCACGAATCTGAAATTAGTTTTTGAAAATTCGAAAAAAAAAGTTCCACTGCAATTCTTGGGGTGACAACGAAAATAGAGATAATTCCACGAAATTTGTTGTGTACATACTAGACGAGTTAAGGAACAAAACTGTCGAACAGTTTTTTGAAATCACTTTTCAAACAGAACGTTAATTTATTGTTATTTGCGATATTTTCAAGTAACTACACGCGAAATTAGACGACTTGCTACTAGTGACTAGTAGAATGTGTACACTTTTAGACCCGACGGACCAACATTCAAGTGAGTATAACTTTTGTTTGAAAAGTTATTTTAAAAAACTGTTCGACAGTTTTGTTCCGTAACTCGTCTAGTATGTACACAACAAATTTCGTGGAATTATCTCTATTTTCGTTGTCACCCCAAGAATTGCAGTGGAACTTTTTTTTTCGAATTTTCAAAAACTAATTTCAGATTCGTGATTTTCATGTTAAAAAACCCCCAGATACCAAATTTCGTCGAAATCAGAATTTTTTTTTGCACCCTAGTTTAGGGGTGCGCCCTTTAGGGGTAGGAATTTTGAAAAAAAAATTGCAAAATCGGAAAGAGCATACCCAAAAACCTATTCAAAGACATGCCACCCGACTTTGTAACTCTTATGGTTGCTGAGAAAAAAATTAAAGAAGAAATGCAGATTTCAACACTCTTTGGGGGGTGGCTCCCAAACGAAACACGTTGGACCCTCAGTTTATTTGGAAAAAGTGCTTGTTTTGATGCCCTCTACAACCCGATTTTTTTTTCGAACGGTCGTGTAACACCCTGTATAAACAACTACTCAAGTTGTTTACGTTTGTTTAAAATTCGTACAACTGTCATTCCTTTAGTTACATACCTACAAAGTAGACAAGCCAAATGGAATAAATTCATTCTTTCGGTTATTTATCGAAAATACCGAAACACGTCAGATTTAAACTATTAATTGACATTCTTCAACGTGAAAATATGATCCCTACCTTCAGCCCCCTTCGAGTGACAGTTGTAACCCCCAATTTTATAATTGGGAAGTATGGGCTTGTGATAGGTATATCGTTTCAACGGTATCTCCATACTCTATCTAAAAACGCTATTTTAAAATTTAAAGTGTAATAATCACTTGCATGACTTGAAACTATACAGTGTAATCAACGAAATCCAAATCGTATGTTTTTATTAATAATTTTGTTCAAAATTTTATTTTGGCATTAATTTTTGCTTCAATGTAGCTGAAGTAAATTTTTCCACAAAGTTGAAATTCGCGAGAAAAATTTTTAGGGTATTTTTAAAAAATCAAAGCAAAAATTGATGCCAAAATCAAAGATAAAAAAATGTATTAATAAAAAACCTAAGATGGGAACTTCGGGGGTCACACTCGCACTTCTTTCAAATTAATAGATATGTAATTGTATAACATCACTAAATTTTAGATATCACATGAAGAAAAAGGTATTTTAGAAGAAAACTTTGAGATTTTTGACCCAAAGCCATCGATCAGTGAAAGTTTTACGGGTGGTCCACATAATTCCTGTAATGAGTTTAGCCAAAATACAATAGAGGCAGAAAGTTCTGATAATGATGACAGCAGAGACAGAGATTACCAAATCAGTGACCCAGCCTCAGACACTACTTCTACATCTAGTGTATCATCTGATGCCATCGATATCAAAACTGAAGTTCGTAAACCCAAAACCGCATCTAGTAACAAAAACATTGACCAGCCATTATCAGAAACGGTATTTGTAAAGGTAGGTACATATTAATAATCATCAAGGTATCTCTAATTTCCTACTCAAGTTACTTTTATTTAGAATACTTGCAACTCTCATTCCTTTAATTACATACACACAAATTTTGCACCCCAAGTGGAAATGCGTAATGTAACGTCTGCAGTAGGTCGGTTGCATTTTTCAAGATTTTGTGCTGTTCGGTAATGTAAATAATTAATTAATACATACGTTCTATACATAAAACCGACCGAGATTTCAAATCAATGGACATAATTATAGTATACAGGGTCGACAAGCCAAATGCAATAAATTCATTATTTCGGTTAATTCAAGAAAATCCCAAAACACGTCTAATTTAAATTATAAATTGACTTTCTTCAACGTGAAAATATTATCCCTATCTTCAACCCCCTTTGAATGACAGATACAAACCCCAATTGTATAAAGGTGAAGTATGGGCTTGTTATATACCGTTTGAAAGCTGACTTCATTCTCTATCAAAAAATGTTAGTTTTTTCTAACGTATTGCTCACGTAAAAAATATATATTACTGAATTCCGGTATCGGATGATTTTATTCTTTTATGTGAATTTTTGCAATAAATTTGAAAACAATTTCATTTATGGATAGAGGATGAAGAGTAGTTCAGAGCAATTAAAAAGCTTGGGGTTTTAGCTATCCCTCGAAAGAAGTTAAATGTAGGGATAACATTTTCACGTTGAAGAATGTCAACATAAAATTTAAGTTCTACGTGTTTCAGGATTTTCTATAAGCAACCGAAATAATGAATTTATTCCATTTGGGTCGTCCACCCTGTATACTATAATTATGTTTATTGTTATGCATCTCGTCCGGTTTTGTGAATAGAACGTATATAATAATTAATTATTTACATTACCGAACAGCACAAAATCTTGAAAGATGCATCTAAAATACTACAGACGCTATGCATTGTCACTCGGGGTGACATTTTAACGAACACAACGTACTTATCTACAGTTACAAACTATACATTTGTTTCAGAAAAACCGCTTGCCACATCGAAAAATTAATCGTTGCAACTATTGCGATAATGACGTATTAATAAAAAATTTTGTCCGTCATTTAGAGAGACATCATTATTCAGAAAAAGATGTTAGAGATATGTTAGCGTTACCTACAAAAAGTAAACAAAGGCGCATTGCTCTTCATTTACTTAGAAACAATACGAACTTTGAGTTATTTGTAAATGGAACCACTCGCCCTAACCGTACTGATCCCAAGAGGTCAACAGGAAAAGCACAATATTATCCATGCGTATATTGTAAGGGGTTATTTTTGAAAAGCTACTTAAAACGGCACGCAAAGTCATGTAAATCCCAGGATATTGCTACTGGTTCGAGTGAAAGGAGAATAAACCACATATCTCATTCGATGACTATTACTGCATGTGCAATGGACCCAACTAACGTTATTTCCCGGTTAAATGTGAAGGAGCAAGTAAGTAAAAGATAACAATATTTTATTATGTGACACAATCGGACCCATATCTAAAAACTACAAAAAAAGAACTTTTATAAAAAGTAGGTACGCGTTTCGACAGCAACGGTGTTATCATCAGCAGTTGGTCGCTGCTGATGAGAACTTTGCTATCGAAGCGCCTACCGTTTCTTTAAGTTTTTTTATTTTGGTGTTTCTATCTTAATGCACGGTACTATATTTTTACATTTTTGAAAAATTAATTATGTATGAGCAATACTGGAATAATTAATACTTTTAGATTATTATTAATGTTAAATTTAATTAATTAATAATACTTTAAGTAATTACCCTATTTGATAGGTCTTCAATCTTATGAAAGGAGATGACATCGCTTTCGAAGCGAAAAGAGACCTCCTTATCGTGCATTTTGGAAACTCTTACCTTATGAAACACAAAAGAGAGAGGATGGCGATTTCATGTAGTAACAGAATGCGAGAACTTGCACGATTATTGATTTCTTATCGAAGAATTCTTAATAAGGGACCAGAAACTTCCTTTAAAGATTTATTACACCCCGAAAATTTTGATAACGTGGTTACGGCCGTCCGACATATTGTGGGGTATGATTTTGAAAAGAAAACATTTAAGGCACCTAGTCTAGCGATGCATCTTGGAACTTCCCTCAAGATGGTGTGTGATGAACTCACTCATTTGATTTTAAAGCAAAGCAAGGGGTTTAAATGTAAATCTACCGATGATTCTCAAAGATGGTTGCAGGATATAAAAAATTTTAAAAAGTTAGTTATTTCACGATGGAATACCGAAATTTCCTCTTTAGCAAACAAAGATTTGCTTGAAAAGAGATGGCAAAAACCTTTATTGTTACCGTTGGTCAGTGACGTCAAGAAGTTTAGAGATGGGATTATGGAAATAGCTAGAGAATGCCAGAATAAATTTCACATGAAAGAGGACAATGAACATACCTATAAATTACTTGTGCAGTGTACTCTGTCACTGCTTATTGTTTTTAATAGAAGACGCATAGGAGATGTACAATATTTAAAAATTAAGGATTATACAATTGGAAAAAAAAGCAACATTAAAGATTTTGAAAATGCTCTAACGGAAATGGAAAAGGCGTTAACGACTAAGTATAAGAGAGTTGTCACTGGTGGCAAAGGTTCAAGGCCAGTTGTAATTTTAATCCCAGAACTAATTCAAAATTTTATGGGCGTCCTGTTAGAACATCGAGAAAAATATATTCCAAATGACAACGAGTATGCTTTTGCGATGCCTGGTAGCAAGATAAAGTGGGGAAAGGGAGATGTTGCAATTAGGAATTTAGCAACGATGGTTAACCTGGAAGCTCCTGCAGCAATAACGAGCAATAAACTTAGAAAACATATAGCAACAATAATGCAGCTGCTGAATTTATCAAAAGATGAAGCTAAACAATTCTCTACTTTTATGGGCCACACCCAAAAAACACACGATGAATTTTATGAGTAAGTTTTGTTGTTTAAAATTTAACCTTGGCACAAATAATGTAAAATTTAACGTTAGTTGAGCATTGCACATTTGGAGGAAACGTAAATGTTACTGTTTTAGACTGCCTGTAGATCTGTATCAAACTGCAAAGGTATCCAAACTGCTTCTTATGATGGAAAAGGGTCGTTTGCCATTAGAATATAAAGGAAAATCTTTAGCGGAAATCAATATCGATCCGGATTTAGAATACGCGGAGGAAGACAATGTAGAAGGTAGGTACAGTATTACTAAACGACATAGAATCAGCATACCATTGTTCATTTAAAGAGAACCAAACTAAGATAAACGAAGTCACACAAACTACTTCACTAAGAGGATTCCATGAAAACCACACACAGTGTGGAAGGAACAGAAAGAAGCACAACATATAATATGAGTAGGTGAATAAGAAAAATTTTATAATACTTACCAAGTAAAATTTTTAGACAAACCTGAAAAAGGAAAAGGAAATGAAAAAAAGATGCCACAGATAGGTGATCATTGATCAAGAATCTAAAAAAAATGTTCAACTAATTAATAACATTTTTAGAGACACCCAACGAGGACGATTTAGAAACTATAACCAAAGAGAATGAAATCAGACGAGAGGAAAAACAAGGAGAAACATTTTTAGGTATTTTATTTATAGTTGATTCGTTTGTTTTTCAAAACATTTTGTTACCGTTTTAGACATAGACGTCACCAGTAACGGTCCAGCGGGCAAAAATCCCAAAAAGTTTACAAGAAAAAGTAAGCTATTTAATTAAGTAATTGTATTCTAATAAAGCTTTTTAGGCTGGTCAAATCGAGAATTGGATTTACTTCAAAAAGAATTTGCATCTTATATTAAAAAAAAAATTTATCCTTCGGGAGAATTAATGCAACAATTTCTCAAAAAGTACGAAATCAATCGTACAGTTTTAGTTGTGCGATCTAAGTTACAACATTTGATAAAGATGGCAAATAATGAATAAATAAATTCTACTTACATATGATCTTATTGAATATTACCTATACCTTATGCTAAGCAATACAAAGTGATTCATTTATCTTGAGATTATTTAATAACTTGATGGGATCATATTTTTTGGAAAAAAGTTTAATGGAAAAGTTGTGTAGTCCAAGAGAACTAATCGGTGATGACCTTGTCAATGCCTTTGATATTCAAGATAGTCAACTTTAGAGTTTTATATGAAATTTTGAAATAAAAATTACGGGAAATTTTACTATCGGACACCGGACAATTTTTATTATCAATTGCTTTGATCTTTCAATGTAGTAAAGTTAGAGTAGGGCTCTTCATGGTAGACATAATCAGATGTGTCCCAAAACATACACGCTTTACACCTACCAAACGTTCCGATTCCGATTTCCGAAACCATAGATGATACGACTATGGCCAAATTAGAAAAAAGTTGCACAATTAAAGAGTTATCGTGCTGTAAAGAAACCAGAATATTCAGATTACTTCCGACGATATGCCAGAAAAACCAAAATTTGCCGATTTCGTTTTGTATTTTTCGCTGACATTATTTGAACAGATGTAACAAAAACACGTTCTCATTGCTTCTGTTTAACTCTCTCAACGGTTTCTTGTACTCTAATAGTGGCAATGAAAAAGCGTTTTTTAATCTGTTCAAATAACATCAATAAAAAATCGGCTGAATGCGGTTTTCTGGCATATCTTCGGAAGTAAGGAGAATTTTCTGGCGGTCTTTACAGCATGTAAATTTTTTAATTGAGTAACTTTTCCTTAATTTGACCATTTTTGTGTCTTCTATGGTGTCCGAGAACCCCATGGTAGACATCCTTATCTTGGACACAGTTACAACACTGCAATAAACATAAAATCCAGTCAGTAAAGCTATTTATTTTTTCTAGCATAAGCAAGGAGATGTGTGTCTTATTATGTAAAATCTAAAATAAGTACACAATGCAAGCAAATGTAATCACTAAATTAACTACATAATCATTGACACTTTTACATAAACCATACCATATGCACAATACAACACAATACACACAATATTACCAATGGATTCCTTCTTGACTGTTATCTGAAAAAAAAGAAAATTAATTTAATAATTTACAAAGAAAGCGATAGAACTTTACCTTATCTAAATGCATCTTCCTTGAAGTAGAAAATAATTTTCACGATATTGGTCAAAATTAGCAATGACTGCTGCAGCAAACTGGAGAGTATTTTTAGAATAACCATTGCAAGTAAGGTCTAAACCAACATATTCGTCAATTGTGTTATCTGAAAAAGAGAAATAAGTTAAAATTATTTATATCTTTAACTAAAAAGCGATAGTTACTTACCGTATGGAAATGCTTCCTGCTGCTGAAGTCGTGTATATTTATGACATTGGCTTTGATTTCATTTACGATGACTACTGTAGCAAAAGTTTTATAAGTACATAATAAAGCATCACTTACAAAACCTAATGATAGACTTCCAAACTATTCAAATCTGTTTGATAAATCACATCTATAAATAAAAATATATCCTTTGATATATAGTGCCGGTTGCTCCCTCCATAAACGTGGCAACATTGCCGGAGGTGGAAACGATACATAGACTGCATGAATATACGGAAGGAAGTTGGTATACTTGATACAGAAAATATATATATGTTCTAATCAAAGAAATTGATACCCCTCTTTAGGGATTGTTATTAAGGGGGGTCTATAAAGAGTAATTTTGATAAAAGATGTGTCATAACACAATCTGGAGTTATGGAGGTTAGGTCGCCTGCTGAACGTACCGGAGGTAACAACTTAACAGCTATATATATATATATATATATATATATATATATATATATATGTAAAATGGCCATGCTAAGGTCATTTACTATTTTCTTAGGTACAGGTCGTTAAATCAACTCAAGTTTAATTTTTTTTAACTAAAACAGATCTTCAAGCTCAAAATAAAAAAATGGCACTTGACCATATTACCGACAGGGTGTTGGCAATATGGCCATGGTCTAATTCGTATAGACGATATTTTCATAACAAAAAGCAAAAATCTCAAACAAACGAATTTTTATTAGGTATTTTGGTCACATTCAGGACAAAGGAAATTTGGTATTTTATCTTTAGCTGTAAGGCCAAGACATTCTTCATGCATATACACGTTGCAAGCGACGCATACCCTCATATCGGCAACTCTATCTTCCTGGCATAACTTGCAATACCACGATTCCTTGATTTTTGTTTGTCTAGACTTTGGTGGTGCCTTGGGAGTGATTTTTGAGCCAGACCCAGAATTTTCACTAAGATCAAGAGACTGTTTCTTCAGTGATCTTTTATTCAAAGATGCCGTTTTATGAATTTTAGGTGTAATTGGTTTCTCCTGTTTGTCAAACAAATCTTTTTTCACAATCTGTGCCCTGCTATTAATGGCAGGTTTTCGAACAGATTTGGTGGCTTTGACGACCGCCGCATCTGGGGTTTTCAGCATATCCGTAAAAGATTCGCGCAATTGACACTCTTCATTATCTTGTTCAGATTCTAAACCCGTATCATTGTCGCTAGAATCATGCACACTAAAAGATGAACCGGAATTAGAACTGTCTTCTGGTGTAAGTGATAGACAACGTCGATTTGTCTTCTGTAAACCAGAGGTTGATGGAATGGCATCATCTATAACATTGTGCCCTTGAACTGGACGATTTTGATTGCTTTCGGCCATTGGCACACGTTCCTGATCTTGTTGTGTAACAGTGCTGGGTGCAAAGGCGACTTCTGGAATTGCATCTTTGTTGAATGGGAAAATTCCCGTTGATGAAAATCCAGCCTTAATGTACTAGGAGTCATAGTTTTATCCCACACAGTAGCAAATATTGTTCCAAACCGTTGCTTTGTGATGAAACGATCCTTATGGTTTGAAAAATATTTACTTCGTCATCCCAATAATACTCGAAGGCTCTGAATACTGCTTTATCCATGGGCTGCAGCTTATGTGCCGTATTACTGGTAGTAGGGGAGCTAGCACGAAATCCACTGAACGAGAATGATCAAAATTTTAACCGATGGAGTTCCATTTTGCCCTATCAGAGTATGCTAAAATCGATCGTCTGCCGGCTCAGGTCATATGACTTAAGGCGCTGCGGGTACTTCTTGAGGTGCCAATTCTGAAAGGTGGTTTTTCGAGAAAATAAGTTATACACCAAATGAAAACGTTGATAATAGCTCTTAAAAAAATATTTAAAAAAATCGCGAACATTTGATAACTCCGTAAAAAAATAATTCTTAGTCGGTTTTTCACGAACTTTCTACGGATATAACTAGGTTACGGTTGGACGAATGAAGCTGATTTTTTTACAGACTGATGATAGGTACTACTAATGACTTAACGGTGTTTCGTTTTTAAATTTTTTCTCTAATTATAAGATTATCTTAATAAGATATCTTATAATTAGAGAAAAAATTTAAAAAAGAAACACTCTCATAGTCATTGGCTGTACCTATCATTAGTCTGTAAAAAAAATCAGCTTCATTTATCCAACGGTAACCTAGTTATATCCGTAGAAAGTTCGTGAAAAACCGACTAAGAATTGTTTTTTGACGGAGTTATCAAATGTGCGCGATTTTTTTAAATATTTTTTTAAGAGCTATTATCAACGTTTTCATTTGGTGTATAACTTATTTTCTCTAAAAACCACCTTTCAGAATTGGTACCGCAAGAAGTACCCGCAGCGCCTTAAGTCATATGACCTGAGGCGGCAGATGATCGATTTTAGCATACTCTGATAGGGCAAAATGGAACTCCATCGGTTAAAATTTTGATCATTCTCGTTCAGCGGATTTCGTGCTAGCTCCCCTACTATGGGAAGACAGTACAATGTAATGTCATGTTTATCTGCTGTAGTTACGATGCTGTGGTCTAAGGGCGGCCGTACACGGACTGCTTCAAGCAGTTGAGACTGACTGCTTAAAGCCGCGACCGCGCGGTGAACTATAGTCATTCATTCGCTGCCGTACACACGACTGCTCGAGCAGTCGCGACCGCTTCAAGCCGTCAACTGCATGACGAAATTCCATCGTGCCGTCAACCGCGCGCGAGCGGTCGCGAGGCATACACCGACTGCTCGAGCCGTTGACTGCGCTAGACCTAGAGCAGTCGACAGCTTTCCGATCTCCCCCCGGCCCTTGTGGCCTCGCGGCGTCTGTCTGTCTCGCTCGTCTCATTTGTCGACTGATCTTTGAACATGGAGGGCGTGTGCGATAGTGATGCGCTTATTAGTGCAATTAAAACGCAAGAACTTATTTGGAACTATAAACTTAAGGAACACAGCGACAAAATAAAGAAGAACAATGCATGGGCAATTATTTGCGCCCAAGTAATTGAGAACTTTGATGAAAAACCAGTTCAAGAAAAAAATCAAGTCGGTAAGTAAAAAAGTCAGTCATTTTACACGCACATTTATTAAGTTTATGTCATATTATAAAGTCACACACATATTTATTGATTTATATCATATTCCATTGCCAATCTAGTTTGCCTTCCTCGCTCACAAAGTAATTAGCAAATTCTTCACGGATTGTCGTTAACATAGGTCCACCTGGACGAACTTGCTGGGTTGAATGTATTATAGAATGAGAAAGACCCTCAAACGTATCCTCTAATTTATTTCCATCTCGTTGTTTTACGTAGTTATGAAGAACACATGATGATTTTACTATATCCACTGCGAAATCAACACTGACGTTAAGTGGTCTATGAAAGATCCGCCAGTTATTAGCTAATATGCCAAACGTGCATTCAATATATCGCCTCGCACGTGATAACCGATAGTTAAAAATTAATTTTTTCTCTGCTAAATTCTTGCCACCATATGGACGCATTAAATTTTCCTGCAACGCTTGCTTAACGTGATATTGTAGAAGGTGGAGGTATATTTAACTTTTTTTCTTGTAACATTTTATATAGACAACTCTCTTCGAAAATAGTCGAGTCAGCGTGCCTTCCATATGAGCCTATATCCACGAAAGTGAACATATAATTATTATCACATACTGCTAGAAGTATTATCGAAAAATAATTTTTATAGTTATAATATGCCGATCCACTTTGCGCGGGTTGTATTATTTTTATATGTTTGCCATCAACGGGACCGAGGCAGTTCGGAAACTTAGCAGTTTTTTTGAAACCATTTATTATGTCTTTCCATTTATCTTCAGTTAGTTGTTCCATACACATATCCTTCATATGTATCCATATATTTCTGCAAACATCCCTCACTATCTTACCTATTGTTGTTGATGCTATTCTAAAACTATAATGCAAATCCATAAATGTACATCCAGTTGCCAAATACCTGTAAAAACATATTTTTAAATCAATCAATTATACTAATAAATATTTTGTTGTTGTTACAGCCATGTTAATACAGAAAAAATTGAAATCGTTTAATGATTACCGAGGACAATGGGGTTATAATACAGGCCCCTCAACCTCTACATCAGTGCCTCTCTAGATCAGCGTCTGGCCCCTCTACGTCAGTGGCTGATGACCAAAATTCTCAATTTGAAGACCTTTCATCATCTTCAGTATTGTCCGATGATGTCATTTCCAATATTTCTAATGAATAAAAATTTAAATAATTACTAGGTATATATTTTTCAAACCTCAATATTACTGCTAGTCTTTCTTCTGGTTGGATACTTCTCCTCATAATTGTGTCTTCACGTTTAATTTTAGATTTTAGTATATTATTCAATTCATCAAACGAAGTGATTTGACATTCTAAAATAGTTGAAAAATTTTTCTTCATCACTTATAAGTTCCATAAACAAATGATGGAATTGTCCATGTTGTTCTCTTAATTCCAAAATTGGATGAACCCAAAATTTTCTGTTTTGACGTCGCCGCCGTCGTCGTCTCCGCTTGAGCGGAAGCAGCAAAAGCAGTGCTTCCTCGTCAGAATCCATTGACTCGACTGTGGTAAATCAACTGCTCGAGCGGTTGGTAGCGTAGCTCGAGCAGCCAACAACCGACCGCTCGAGCGGTCCGTGTACGTCGCTCAGCCGCTAACTGCTCGAGCAGTCCGTGTACGGCCGCCCTAAGTGGCATTTGGCACCATCGAAGACTATAATGCAGGGTCCAGGCACTTTGAGTTTCGCGAAATGTTCAAGCCACAGGGAGAATGTGTCAACGTTCATGCTACCTTTTGGTGTCATGTGTGCGATGGCCCCGGGGGGAAGAGCATCTTGCCATTCAGATTTCATTCGTTTTCCTTTGAACAGTACCATTGGAGGTACTGCTGCTCCTAATACGTTGCCACATGAGAAAATTGTGACACTTTCTCCGTGTTCATGGGCAACAATATGAACCCGCCGAGCCCCCTTTTTTGCAAGCACCTTTTGTTGATGATGTAAGCTCAAGCGGCAGCCCTTTTCATCCACGTTATAAATCCGCTCCGGTTTATCGATGATATCGAGTTTCTTAAGAATTGTCTCAAGCTTTTCAAAATGGTCCTTTACAATAAATTTATTGAGTTTCTGGGCCCTGCCTGGGTTTAGGTTTTGTGACTTTCTGAGTATTTCTTTTTAAGAATTCCCACAACCAATAGCGCCCTGCCATTTCCGTGGTCACACGAAAAGGGTTTTTTATTTTGTTGGTGTAACGATATACACATTTACGCAGGACCCTTGAAGTAAGTGGGTAACCAACTTCTGCCAGACGAATGATGCGCGTAGCTAGTTCACATTCTTGGGCACTTGTTAGTATGGTTTTTCGGCCAAGAGATGATTTTTCCTGTTTACCTTCTGCTACATACCTTCGAAGGGTTCGTCTAGGTATCCCGTAGGTAATACTGGCTCTATTGAGTGGCATTCCAGCAGCAATAGATGCTAGAGCACCATCCATACTTTCCTTGCTCCACATACCCAGCAACCCCATACACAGACGGCGTGGCATGCTATAAATGAATGGAACATTATTCTAAACACACACACAAAGAATGTAGAGTAATATGGCCATGGCCATATTACTCTACATGTCAAGTGGCCATATTGCTCGACATAACCTATAATTTTGTTTTTATTATAATAATGGAATAAACACAAATATAGAATTAAAGCAAGTATACAGATACTTTTTAAAGGTCTGAATATGAAATGTAATAAATAACAAAAAATTAAGAACTTACCTGTTTTAATTTTTTCACCTCTAGTAACGAGCGAAGATCTTATACGTACAGGTCCCGCCAAAATATTTTATTACAAGTGCTCATGTAACAACAGACAATTGACAAAAAGCCCCACCATGCACGTGTTTCTATCATATACTTATCATTTTTAAGGATACCTACTGACACCTATGGTTCAAGTGCCCAAATTATTGAAATACTATGCCCTGGCCTTATTGCTGTACATGGCCACATTACCTTATATATATATATATAGACATTGTGTAAAATAATGTTTGTTATTTTAGAAAATAACGTTTTTGTTGTGTACGGATAAGAACTGTTGCTATATGTTATAAATTCAAACCAAAATTACAGTAATACTTTTAGTTTACGAGTTTCTGCAGGGGTCTATATTATTAGGTGCTGTAATTTTTTATATCGTCTAAAAAGACCGTTATCCCTTCCATTAAGGGGGTTAAGTGCAAGAGCAGACTGTGGCATTGCCGCAGTGCTGAACTTCGCCCTTAATTTTAATGTACTGGAATAAATCTTTTGTTTTTCTTTTGAATAATAAAGGCAATATTATTATTATTATATCTTGTAGTATTGTTTCTATTGTGTTACCGCTATAGCAAACATTAACCTCATGCTTTGATAAATCTCTTCGGGACATACTTCTAACTGTAAATAAGTAAAGTACGCTTGTTGTAAATCAAGTTTTGTGAATTTGTCTCCCTCGGCTAAATTCAAAAATAATTCCTCTACTGTTGGTATGGAATGCTCGTCTACAATTAAATTTGTATTAAGGGTAATTTTAAAATCTCAACAGATCCTAATTCTAGCATTTGATTTTACACAACTGGGACAATAGGTGTTGCCCATTCTGATCTATTTACTTTAATTAACCCTCTCTTTCTCCAACGTTTCTAATTCTTCTTTGGGTACAAGTGCAGAAGGAACTTTACGTGCTTTAACGAAAATTGGCGTTGGGCCTTCTTTTACTTGTAACTCTGCCAGAAAATTTGTAATTAGCTTTCTTCCCGCATTTAGATGCTACATCATTACTATCTCGACACCTGTAACAAAATGTTTTGTTAGCCTTCTGAACCTGGAAATGGTTTTAAACCTTACGAGTTTTTATACCCTGGTGCAATGGATTGTACTGTCCCTCCGTGAACATGTGTATATGAGGTGTATCTCTTTAAGACACCTCCATACTTTTCGCAATTTCGACTGTTTTTTTTACGGTTAAATGCTTCCCTCTAGCCTCTTAAGGCGCGTATCCACCTGACAAACGGAACGTTTAGAAACATTTGCAATCGTTTACAAACACGATGTTTATCCGGTGGATACGTCGGTCACTTACATTTGCAAACGTTTGCAGGCGTTTGTCACTGTTCCGCGAAAAGTCGGTAACTTCAAAGGATTTGACTTGTTTGTGGATTTCTGCCTGATTTTAGTGGAGACGCGATATTCTACGTTTGTAGATAAATAGATCCGATAAGTGTTTGTTTACTTGTATTTAGTGTTTAAAAGTTGTGGTTGAAGTGATTGATCAATAACTCGAACAATAATCATTATTTTTTTATTTAATTTGTTTATTTACGATGGATATTACTACGGAATGGGACCACGAGCAGTGTATTTACTTAATAAATTTATATAGACAAAAACCGGAACTATGGAATGCCAGACATGGTTTTTATTATAATAAAATTAAGAAACATGACGCCTGGGCCGATATAGCCAAAAATATGAATGCAACCATCGATATTGTAAAGGCTAAAATAAACTCGTTGACAACTTCATTTAGAAGAGAAAGAAACAAAGAAACTCAAAGTTTGGGAACAGGAAAAGGTCTGTATATTTAGTGAACCTGTTTTTCTTGTTATATGTTTTGACATGAAAGTTGGAGGAGCTTCCAGCATTATCGCTTTAGAGTGCAGTTTTTTGTGTTTTTAAAACCGTGATCACGTACCCATGTGGATCCAGGCTTACTATTAATAAGGATGGCCAACAATAAAACTGAAAATTTGGAGGGCGGGAGGAGGTATACACAAGCCACTGGTTTGCCTATGAGGCATTTGGATTTCTTATGGATAAGAATAAATGCAGGAAATCTGTCAGCAGTACAAAAAAGATGATTCATTCCCAAATAGAAGATTCAGAGGTGAGAAATATTTTTTATTTTACTCTAATTTTACAAGCGAAAACTCATTCTTTACAAAAACACTAACACTGTACGTTTAGCTAAGCATGTTCATTTTGCCATGGAATAGCTCCATTGCTGGAAAAATATGCTGCAAATTCTTCACGAATTTCCTGAGGAATTTTTGCAGACTTTCGAGGAACTTTTTTAATATTAATCAGGGACAACATTTCAGTATCATTTCTCCAAGCACCAGGAATAACTTTCCCTTCTACTTCACTATCCAGGGCTCCTTGTGCACAATAAATATTTGCTGAAGACTTACTTTTGCGTAAGAAGTTGTGCAAATATATACAAGTCATCACAACTAATTCTGCTTTATGTGGCTCTAGAAGCATTGGTTTTCTTAAAACTCTAAAGACAGATGCTAGGATACCAAAAGCATTTTCCACTACTCGGCGTGCTCGACTCAACCTGTAATTGAAAATTCTTTGTATTGAACCTTTTTCATAAATTCCTGAATAAGGTTTCATTAAATTATCAGCCAGGGCAAACGCTTCGTCTCCTAAAATTACGTAGGGAATAGCTTTCTCGCGACCAGGCAACGGTTTTGGTAATGGCAAATTTAAAGCATTATTTTGAAGACGTTCATACAACTCTGTGTTTTTAAAAATTCCTCCGTCTGAGATTCTTCCTTGAACACCAACATATAGAAAATTATAATTAGCATCAACTAGGGCAAAGAGAACGATGCTGAAAAACGACTTATAATTAAAAAAGTCACTTCCGGTTTTTTTAGGGCACTGTAAAACTACATGCTTCCCAACAATCGAGCCAATGCATTGTGGAAAATTCCATAACGTTTCAAATTCTTCGCATGTCTGCAACCATTCCGCTTCGGTTTCTGGCATCTGCAAAGAAAGAATTGTTTTTTATTTGTATGCGTTTGTTTGCGTCAATTTAAAATATGTGTTTCACCTCAACGTTAATTTAGAATATGCATATTTTAATTATTTTTGTTATTAAACATTTTTTATTTTTGCATTTTTTTTTTCAGGTTATTGATGATAATGAAGTAGTTGCCGAAGAAGTATACAATGAAAACAGTGAACCAATTGGAGAAAGAACAGAACCAGAACTTAATCAAAAAAAAGCCTTAGAAGAGGAACCATTACCATCTACTTCTGCAACGTCTACAAATGAATTACCAAATTCACAATTGCAAAAAGCAAAACGAGCGAAACGGAATAAGGAAAATTCAAACGTCCCAAACGAGGATCCTCGTATTTCTGCAGTAGTCGATATTATGCGGTCAGCTCAAGACCGGGATTCTTGTGATATTTATGGGGAGCATATCGCATCAAAGCTACGTACTTACAGTCAAAGAACACAGGCCATGGTACAGCACATGTTTAGTAATATCCTCTTTAATGCTGATATGGGACGTTACGACGATGTGGTGCCTAAGAACACCTCTGGTCATCTGTCATCTTCTGGAAGCGTTACTTCTGCTAGCACATGCACTAACTACCCCTGCTCCTTCACCTGCTGGTTCAAGCTCTCATTATTCCGATCATGCTTCACAGTTCCGTACCCATGAAAATACAAGTGCTAACACTAGCGCATCGTTCGCCAGCTATCAGCAACCCTCGCAGCAACCACAACGAAACTTAACTTTACTCACTAATGTTCTGCCAACTTCAGGAATCCTTCAACAGCTCGAAGCCCATCGAAATGCAAGTAGCAACGCAACATATACCACCAGTTGTCAGCAGCCACAAGAAAATGACCATTGGGAAACAAACTTTCCAGATGAAAATCCTGACCTAGAATCTGCATCCATGAATGCAGGAAACTATTTATTTAGCAAACTTCAATCCATTTCAATCACAGACAAATACTAATTACTTATAAAAATAAAATACCATTTATATCATCGCATAGATAGGTATGATCTATACGCTGAGTAAAACCGCACTGGACGTATGTCAAAAATGTCATTTCAACAGTAACTAGTTTTCTCAATAAAGGTCAAATTTATTATATGGTTATTTACTTACCCTTACATAGCTCGCTAATGCTTTCATGATGGCGGCACATACTTCAGGAATTATTCTAGAAATGAGCTGCTTCGAAACTCTGAAGAGGTACATAAGACTGACATAGGAATCTCCTGTCGCTAGAAAGCGAAGTGTGATGGCCAGTCTAATTTCGGCAAAGACGCACTCTCGGTAGTTCGTGTCAATTTTAGATATTTCTGGAGAAATTCTTGAGAGCAGAAAATCAAAATCTCTTGGCGAAACTCAAGTAAAATTTTTGAATAAGCTACTCCTGTCACTTTTGATATCAGAAATCAAATGAGACACCCAAAATCCATGTTTCCTTCTTTTTTTCTTCTTTTCTTTTTCTATTAGTGCACAAAATACTAATGCAGCACAGGCGGCAAGTTTCTGTCTACTTAACGGGGCCATTTTTACAATTTTTCTATTCTCGGTTTTCCTCAAAATAAAAAAACCTGGATACGCGACAAACGCTCTCAAAACTGCTTTGTGAACAATTTCAAACAACATGTTCTGATCGGTGGGTACTTCGTTTTGCAAGGCTGTTTAACAATATTCGCAAACGTTTACAAATGTTGCTACAAATGTAATGCCAGTGGATACGCGCCTTTAATGAAAGTGGGCGAAACGTTAACTTTTTATCCAGCATTATTGACAAGGTCCTATCCCGGAAGGCGCTCGCATCTTAAATCCTTATGTTCCAATAGACGACTTTGCATTGCTTGGTTCCGCAGTCGGAGGACAAACTGATTACGTAGCACCTTCTTACCCCACTACAGCCCAAAGATTTTTTTTTCGAAAATCGAGAAAAATCTTTGGAAATTGAATTAAATTACATCCCTATAGCTAGAAAAAAAATTAAAAAAACTCTGGTTAGGTATAGGCCATATGGGGTGATCTACACAATATAGATCACTGGGAACTTCCAAGATCCATGCTAAAAATATTTGCCTATTATATCAAATTCATTATTTTTACATTGGTAGAGTAATACGTACAAATAATTGATTGTAAATTATATTTATTGTTATAATTATTTATGTATTACATCATTTAGTATGGTATGGAACAATACATTTTGCCCAAAGAGTGACGTTACATTGCGCACAGTACGACTTAAGATGTAGTCTTGCAGTTTTTTTGTTGGCAGCGTCGTTGCTCATTACGCAAATTAAGGAGGCGCTTCAAGCCATCGTATCTTGTACCCAAAACTGAGCTTTAGTATTACGCTTGCTGCAGGCGGTTATTTTCATATACGGAACTGCTACGGCTCTTCGAAATTCCAGGCAGCTCAGACTTTAAATAAAATATATACTAAATATCCTTTCCATCCTCGACAATTGTGGACTATGGGATTAGTTGGCAACGATTCAGATAAATATATGAATCTGATCCAAAAGGTCCAATTGTTACTCACATTGCCGATTTTTTCTCCCAACGGCGAAGAGAATCTAACCTTAAAAATTTTGTTTTGAGGTGTTGTGTTAGGTGAGCAAATATATGAATAGTATGATTAACAAATCATCCATGAGTAATGTAGAGTTTTCGAGTAGTGAGAGTGATCCATATGCAAATAGTAGTGATAGTGATCCTGATTACGTAGTGGGCAATGAGGATAGCACACATATAGATGGTAACATTTAATGTTTCTTATCAGATACAAATAGTTTGGATACTGCTAGTGGCTCCTCAAGGTTTCAAGATATGCATGTTACTGCTAATAGCGTGGATAAATTTTCCAGCAGTGAGAGTGAGTAATCGCCACTTTCCCAGACTGATTTGAGTCTGGATTTACCAGACTGTAGATTTGGCCTAGCAACAACCACTGAAATTGGTCGAGGAACCAAAAGAAACATTGTTTCTCAAATAAACAAGAGGGTGCACCTCCACAATTGTGTTTGCTCTTTAATTTTTTTGTCAGGAACCATGAACAATCAAAGGTTTCATCCTTTTATCGTTTATTGACTCAAAATCAGAAAATACATATTCAAAGGTAAATCATGTAAGTACAGCCTCTTAAGCGTTCTAGTTGCTCAAAGGAAAATTAAAGAAGGGACACAAATTTAGTCACCAAACAAAAAATTTTGAATCTGATTTATTTGAAAATAACAGCTTTTTTTTGCTTCCTTGTGCCACTTTTTTTGGTATTTTTTTAATTAAAAGATAGGCAATTACTCAATTCCAAAATTTTTGAATTTCCAATTGAGGGGCCCAGTGCAAGAACCGGGTATCTCCACTTTTTAAAATTTTACAGGAGGCGTAAAAAACGTTGCTATAAATTTGTATTCTATAAAACCATACGCGTAGCTGTAAATAACGGTGATTAAGATTTTCTTTGTTCTTTTTTGAGTATTCAGTTTTGAGAAAAAAAAATATATATATTGGAAATACCTGCTTTTTGCCCAGTAATATAAAATAAATAACGCACTGTCTAAATTATTATTTTTTTGTAAGTAAACGGGTGTGTTAATAAGGAAGAACATAAGTAAACATGTTTTATTAATAATAAAAGAAAAATACGTAAGGCCCATTTACACTTCAATCTAATGCAACAAATCAAACAAAGTGTTTTATATTATTCAGTGTCATAATCGGAATGGTCGGAGTCTGTATTTCCTGATTTTTCTGCCTCAGCTTGGTTCTGTGCCTGTTCTATATTATTCTACAACCACATATCATTTTGTGGTACATACTCCTTTGCTAGTTCCATTAAATGCTTGAATTTTTTTGGTTTTAAAATGCGTTGTTTGGTGTATAGTGCTTCATCAGCATCAGGTAAGGAAGGATTTTCTCCTTTTTTTAAAATTTCAAATCTTTAATAGGACACATCAAAACATATGACTTGCGCCCGGATGCGACGCAGTATAAAGTTGCACGTTGGTACTCTGCAAGAAAAGGGTATCTCCTGGAGATACCTGATTATTGCACGGAAAAATATTTCAGGCATCTCCACAAATCATCATAACTAAGTGACTACTGGCAGGAGATGCCCTGTTCTTACACCAAATGATGCAGAACGTAAACAAGTATAACTCCATATAGATAAATCAATTTCACAAAAAAGTGGAGATAGCCGGTTCTTGCACTGGGCCCCTCAATTCCAAAATCCATATTATATTTAAAATCATCAAAATTTACATGACATGTAGGTAAATACTCGAATAGGTATTGGTTTTGGAATACATCATTTTATCACCATGTTGAAAATTAATCTCAATTTTCTTTCCAAAGCCCAAAGCTGGAACACTGTCAGCTTCTGTTATTGTGTTGGTTAATTTAGTTTTGTTGTCACATATTATAACACCTCCAAACAAAATTAGATGGTTTTGAAGCAATTCTAACACATTGCAGGTTTTCATTGATCCAAGGAAAGTTTTGTAGGCACGTTTAGTATTTTACTTTTATATATATATATATATATATATATATATATATAATATCAGATAGTCCTTTCTACATGTATCCTAACTTTTGCCATTTTTGTAGTTTCGTACACTTGCTGCTCTGCGAACTGGGGAGTACCTACTTAAAAATGGTGGAATGTTTAAAGATACACCTTCTGGTAAAATATCTTTGATAAGGAAACCTTTATCTGCCAAAATAAGATCACCGGAAACCATTTGGTTAAGAACTCCACACCTAGAAATGGACATACGCTCAATCCTCCTTGGTGACAAAATAATAATAAGCGTTTGTACAAAACGTGTCGAAACCTATGTGTTGGTTAGAGGCGAGAGGTTTTACATTAGTCCAGGAAATAGAGACTGAAAATGGACCATTCCCTGCAAAACGAGAAGTAGTTCCAATTTTTTTTGCATGTCATGAAAGAATATCTGGTGGTTAAGAATCCAAGTTTTCGACCTCCCACACCTTGTGCATCCCCCGCACCACCCTTAAAACCAAAGAAATTTGGTTGGTTTTTTAGTTTTTCAGTCATATCTTTGTATAGATTCATTTTTCAAAAAAATATTGTTATCAGAAATTGTAGACTATAAAATTCTACAGAACTTTGATATACACTACTTTTTTGTATAATGTTTGTTAAAAAAGATATAGAGCTTGAGTTGGTTATACAGGGTTCGGCAATGAAACGGGAAGATTTCGTAAATAATTTTATTATCGAAAAAATATTTTTTTGGTAATTAGTAATACCATACTGGGAAATAAAAGAGTAGCCATTTGATATACAATGTTAAAAAACATTATTTTTTGAAAATTACATCTGTCAAATGGCCTCCGTTGACACGTATGCACTCATGGAGTCGAACACGTTCAATATTTTCAGGGATTCGAATCCTTCTGGCACTACCACCTCTTTCTCTAGACGTCGATCCAGTTTGCTCGAGGTTGTTTAGCCACATTCGAATCGCATGGTCTGACGGAACCGGTTGGTTACGCGGTATGTTAAAATGCCGTCTAACATCTCGACGCGTTTGCATTAAACTCTCGCCATTTTGGTAATAAGCCTTAATTGCGTAACCGCGATGCTCACCCGTCCAACGCTCCATTGTAGACTAAATGGCAAGCCACTAGGGTCCCGACAGGTCTGTGACTGTCCTCCCTACCACTTCACCGCCCGCTGCAAGCCCCACCCCAAATCTTCCCGTTTCATTGCCGGACCCTGTATTTTGAAGAATTCTGAAATTTCTATGTAGATGTTTTAACCAAATTTTATACTTTATTTTTATAATTAAGAGTTTTATGAGAAAATATCTTGAACTTATCGTGGTATAAACCCCCCTACCCTGCACCCTTACCAAAGGGGATGCATAATAATTCAACTTTCAACCCTTGCTAGTGGGGATATTTGAATCCCTGTGAGATTGTAGCGCTTTCTAATATACTTTTAAAATTAAAAAATTGTTTCACTTCAGTTCAGTTTCACCTCCCCTCCCCCCTCCCCCGCGTGGTAGAAATAGATAATTAAACGCTCTTGTGGCGATTGTGAAGTTAGTCAGAGAGTACAACGCTTATTATATATTATGTGTTCTATTCCTCTTTAAATATCTATTCCTACCGTGGTTGGGGGGGCGTGGGAGGGGGGATGAAGGATTTTAAGGATGAAGCTGAACTGAAGTGAGATAATTTTTTTGTTTCAAAGGTATATTAGAGGAAGTTAGAGGAAGGCATATTACTATGATACACAGGTATGAGAAATTGGGAAAGCAAATTTGCATTTGGTACCTATCTGACCTCTCGTGTCAGCTTTATGGCCCAATAAAAAACAGTATTTTTCCCATTGCCTTGTTAAGGTATGTCTTATCTAATGAATAAGCTCACCTTGTAAATAATTGTTTATGTTTCTTCTTAAGAAAGAACTCAAACAATACAATATCACTAGCTAAATACGTAATAAATTTCAAATCGTGCTTTCCTTTTCATCTATACATCAGGTAGCTAAGTAAAAATAAATACAACTAACCTGTAAAGTTTTCTAGATGCCAACGACTATGTGTTGACGGCTCGTCATGTAACGAAGGGGAAATAGTTGGTCCGCTGTACTCTTCATTCTCTGACTCAGAGCTGGAGGATAACGGTCGCACCACACGTGGACGCTTTTTCGCACGTCGATTAAAACACTTATCTTCTAATCTTTTTAATCGATCTAATAACTCCGTATCCTTCAAACTACTCATATTTATCAACAAAAAAAAAGGTTTAATCGTAATATAACAACACCGATGTAGCTTGACGCGCACTAAAAACAAGTATGAAGGTTAGGGGAAACGAGACCGACCGGGCCGTCGGCGGGTGTGAGGAGAGCGGGAGGTTGAAAACTTTTAAGCATGCTTTGAACTAGTGGCTTGATGTACGAAAACATGGTACTACGTATGTGTAATCTCGAAGAACGAGGCTTGAAATATAATTGCCATTTGACAAATAGCTTAAGCCGGCCCCAGACTATGGCAAACTAGACAAACGTTTGTGGTTTGTGAAGTTTGTCAAGTAGTGTGTACGGTGACACGTTTGCCAAACTCGCCCAACGTTTGCGTTCGTCCAGGTTCGGATAAAAGTCGGTAAATTGTACCCGAATCAAAGGGAAGTTTGCCGAATCGACGCAGTTATTTGCGAATCGATTTTTCAAGCTACACACATTTGTAAAACGTTTGTCGTTCAAGTTGTTGTTTGTGTTTGTGGTCCAACATGGAGTGGACTAATAGTGCCATTATTGAGTTTTTACAATTATACGAAAAACATCCCGTAATTTGGAACCCTCAACACGAGGCCCATAAAAATAGAAATGCAGTGGCAGACGCGTGGAGTGCGATCAAATCTGAAATGAGTATACAGGTTACAGTGACCGAATTAAAAAAAAAAGGAGTCTCTCATGGCAACTTATCGTACCATAAAGAAAAAAATGAATACTGCACCTTCCCGAAGTGGAGCAGATGACATCTACAAACCCACGTGGTTTGCTTTCCCAATCATGCATAACTTCTTGAAAAGCTTTGGAAAACCTCATGCGACGTTACGCACAGAAGAGGTAAAGTATATTTTTATTCACTTTAAATAAATATATGATGCTCGGTTAAGAAAAGACAATGAGCTCATTTAGTTAAATTTCATATTGCAATTTTTATTAGATAAAAATGAAGTAATTGCCAATACAATTGTGAAAGTTTGAAAACGCTAGTTTAAGTATTTTCCGGCTGGCTGTACTTACCACAACATTTATCATCGATAATTATCGTTACATCAATATATCGATAACTACATATATTTCTTTCGGTACGCAACAATGCAA